CATGGAAAGCTGGGTGCTAATTAAGAAGGACCCTACAAGATAACTCGGGTCATAGGAAATGGGTCTTACGAGCTTGAGACCATGGAACAGAGACGAGTACCTAGGCCTTGGAACATGGCTAATCTACGAAAATTCTATTTTTGAAGTACCTTCACAAATAAGAACTCCGAAGTACCTTCAGAAAATATGAGTGCCCCCTGTCATTTCGTAAAGAAAATTCCTCTGTTAGGAATAATCCTTTTATGTAAAGCATTTCTTTTATAATAAGATTACATGTTAAAATATTTGCCAGATGCCCTTGCTTGTCATTCTCACCCTACTGCTAAGGTAGGGAGGCACAGGCCTAAATCAAGCGTAACCACCTGATCAGATCTGAGCCCATGGTTAAACATGATGATGTAAACCAAACAGGCAATGATCTAAGTCCAATTAGATCAGCAGGTCGGTACGAATGCGAAAACCTTATGAGGAGAAGCTCGGAAGGCCCCAATCTCTTCGAGAAAACCTCCGCGAAAGTCCCTAGCAGAGGTACATAGGACCTAGCTCTAGAGAATGGCCGAATAGAGGCTAAAGCTTCTTAGAGCAAGGAAATAAAATTTTATCTAAGTAAAAGTCCCTAACAGAGGTATGTGGGACCTAGCTCTAGAGGAGTGCCAAACAAAAGCCAAAGCTTCTTAGAGCAAGGAAATTAAATTTTATCTAAGTCCCTAGCAGAGGTGTGTGGGACCTAGCTCTAGAGAAGTGTCGAATAGATGCCAAAGCTTCTTAGAGCAAGAAAAGAAAATTTTATCTACGTAAAAGTCTCAAGCAAAGGTGCGTTGAACCTAGCTCTAGAGAAGGGCCAAACAGAGGCCACAACTTCGAACAATAAAACGAAATTTTATCTAAGTAAAAGTCCCTAGAAGATGTGCATGGGACCTAGCTCTAAAGAAGGGACAAATAAAGGCCAAAGCTTCTTAGAGCTAAAAAAGAAAATTTTATCTAAGTAAAAGTTCCTAGCAGAGGTGTGTGGGACCTAACTCTAGAGAAGGGCTGAACAGAGGTCAAAGTTTCTTAGAGCAAGGTAAAAGTCCATAGCAAAGGTGTGTGGCACCTAACTCTAAAAAAGGGCCGAACAGAGGCCAAAGCTTCTTAAAGTAGGGAAACAAAATTTTATCTAAGTAAAGTCTCTAGCAGAGGTGCGTGGGACCTAACTCTAAAGAAGGGCTAAATAGAAGCCAAAGCTTCTTAGAGCAAGAAAATGAAATTTTATCTAAGTAAAAGTCCCTAATAGAGGTGCGTGAGACCTAACTCTAGAAAAGGGTTGAACAGAGGCCAAAGCTTCTTAAAGTTAGGAAACGAAATTTTATATAAGTAAAAGTCTCTAGCAGAGGTGTGTAGGACCTAACTTTAGAGAATGGCCAAATAGAGGTCAAAGCTTCTTAGAGCAAGAAAACGAAATTTTATCTAAGTAAAAGTTCCTAGCAGAAGTGCGTGGGACCAAGCTAAGTGAAAATCCCTAACATAAATGCTTGGGACCTAAAAAAAAATTGAATCATAAAAAGAGTTCTTTCATAGATGCCAAAAGGAGGTAACAGTGCTTTTTTTTACATACAAAAATACAAAAATTAATGTTTTCAGGAAGAAGCGTGAGGACCAGAGGAGCTAGTCATAGAATGGCGCAAGAACAGCTCAGAGGTGGGAGGCACATTGACAGCTTTCTGAGCAGCAACCTAACCTTTTCAAAAGTATGCTCTTTCCAATGAAGGGATTTGCAAAGCTAGGTCCCTCTCCGCTTCTCCATTCCTTGTTCAAATGCAGCATCTTCAAGATTCTTGACTCCAGCCTTGAACTTATCAAACTCCTCCAACAAAATGGAATGTTTGAGTTGGGTTTGGGATAGATCTACGTTGAGAGAACTCTCTGAAGCCTTCAACTCCTTCATTTCTGTTTTCAGCTTTTAATTCTCATCGTTCAGGCTAAGTGATTGAGCTTGAAGAACCAGCATTTCCTCACAAAGTTTAACATAATCTTCATCAACAGATTCCTTCTTCACCATAGCAAACATGCATTCATGAATTGCCTCTTTCATTGCCTGGTCCTTTCTGACAATTCTTGCTCCTACCTCATACACTTTTTGAAGATTCTTTTAAAAGAAAGAAAAGGGGAAAGAAATAAATAAAGTTGCAACCAAGTGTAAAGGAAAAAGGAACCAAGACAAATACCAAAACCATCTGTTGAATGGCTTGTCGAGTGATCTCATCATCTGAAGCTACCTCATTCACAGTAAGGCTGCGCGGCAGAATCACCCCCCCGGCAATCCCCACTGCGACATTCATATCCTCGAAAGCCGAGTACCGAATGCTTATTTCCTTACCTTTCGCTTTCAATACAGGATGGAAGGTAGGAATTAACCATTCAATCGTAGGAGGGGACTCGGCCATTCGTCTCTTCTTCGTCGGATGCTCCTCGGGCTTTGCCTCAATTGACCAAGGTGGTGAGGAGACAACCAAAGGGGCCAACAGGAATTGCATCAGCAGAAGGCTCGAGAGAGGAACTGGAGCCTCAAAATTGGCTTGTGGCTCGATAGGTGCAAGGGCATCATCAGAAAGAGACGTTATATCAATTTTCGAGTTAGGTAATGGAGGTGCATCATCGAGAATATGGACGGTCAAGGGAATAAGCTTCAAAAGGCTCACTAGCATAAAGAAAACTCAAAACAAAATTCACTGATTTGTTTCTTCCAGAAGGAATGGCAGACTTTTGCCGAGAACAAGGGGTAGCAGCACGCTGGACTCGTAGTGCATCTCAGTCTTCAGCAAGCATGGCATTGGCTCGATCAGGAATAGCAATGAAAGAGTGATAAGTAGGAGTATATCCTAGGAGAACATGGACAGCCCGGCAAAACAGGCTCTCGTTGAAGGACCACACTTTTTTCAGGTCGTCCATTTTCACCGAGCGCTCAGATATTTTACCCTTGACAGTCTCCCCTAAATGCAAAAGCAAAAGATAGTAATATATATATATATACATACAATGGACCAAAAAACTAAAGAAGACTATAATCATATACTTGGCATGCCTTTTCGAATCTGGGAGGTCGATTATCAAGTATCAATCCTTCCTCCTCACCGCCAGGTAGTAACTATAACCGATTGTCTTCAGAATATAACAAAAGATCATCTCCCAGATACCTAGATTGACATTCAGAAGGTTGTTCAAGGCAACAACACCCATAACTACCCAAAAGAAGCTAGGATAGCATTGGATAGGGCACAACTTCATGGCATAAAGTACTCATAGTAGCAATGTGTGCAAAGGAAATCTCACCCCACCTTTCGATAATTGTCCTTGTGTAGATGGGAATCGATTCCCTCGTGCCAATCAATCGTTCATCGGTGCCAACTACTCAAATTTAAACATAATCAAGAATGTTGTATTTGGTCCTAAAAGCTGGAATACCTTCTTTCGTAAGAGGAGCCATTTGGGAGAAGAGGAGCAGATGAATAGGAAGAACATAAATGCAAGTAAAACTGAAGAGAAAAAAGGATAGGAGAGTCATCTTATACTCCCTTTAAAAGAGGTAAGTAAAAAAAAGGAAGCCAAAGGACGAGCATTTAATGTGAAAAGACAATGCAGAGTACATTGTATGTCTTAAAAACCCAAGCAATGATGAACCTAAAGACATGAAACGATTGTCAAGCGAATGACGATTGACATGTGCTTTCTGAGGACAAGTGAAGGAGCATAAAATTATATCACGTGGATGAGTAGGCACATGAATAAAGAAACAGTCACGTGGGGTTTTAACTCTATGTCAAAACCTAGCCGAGCTGTTGCAATTTGAAATATGATACCGAGTAAAGGGACCTAGCACAGTTTGAAGGGATGGTGTAAACACAACAATGAAATAATCGCATACGATCAAGAGATTTAATTGTAACAGCTAGACGCAGTCAATAGCTCAAATGAGCTAAGATTGATGAAGGGTTAGAGAAATTTCTACAATTGTTAACAAACAGTCACGTTGGAAGGGAGATGTGCCACCTTCCTTGTTGAAAAAGGAAATTCCTGACATCTATATAAAGCAGTAAGAATGCATGGCAAGAGGTATGTTGAATCTTTTTAAGGATATTTCTTCATACCCACACTTATTGACTTAAACATCGAAATGCCTTCAATCGAAATACTTTGATCCCAGATAGTTTGCTTCTTTTTGCAGGAAGTACTACCAAGGAAGGAACAACTCTTTCCCAAAGGTTAAGAGGATCAATGTTTTTATCATCTTACAACACATGACATAGGGCCCATGGCTAGTTTATCTCTCTAACGGAGGGCCCACAAAATAGCACTTGAGGTTCACTTGCTTTATAAATAGGTAAAGAAACAAGGAATCTTTCGCCATTCTACCATTTTTTTGTAACTTCACACGAAAATATCGCACTTCCAAACTTATTTTCTACTGTTTTTTCATAGAAGCTTAGTTTAAACCCACACTTTTTAGTGTAATGTGTTCACAAAACACACTTTCAAGATTTTTAATGGGAAGCATGTTTGCAAACATGTTTTTATATTAAAGGCGTGGATTTGAACTGTGCTTTTATGAAAGTAACAATAGTTCAAGATATGCATTTGAAGGACAGTATTGATGAAATAGGTTAAGTAGATGAATACTTGTCATCGCTCTGTTATAATCCATGACAATTAAATAGCTAAAATTGTTTAAGCGACGCATCTTAAACTATTTTAATTATGAGTCAAAACTAAAAAGCTTCATAACCAAACTATAATTCTCACCAAATTTCTCTTCATGCATAAATAGATGTAATCCCAAGAGAAAAGAGCAGCAGACGTGATAGTTCTTCAACAAGTAGAACACATCACAAATGGCTGTTTTTGACGTCCACCACAAGCCTTGCTGTTTATTATCAACATCTTGTTCATCATCGTCCTGTCTAAACTGTGGTCACAATGATCGTCAAATCTGTATCAAGCAGGCAAAAACTCAATGCAAATTTTGCTCATGCCTTCTGCTTTTCTAGCCTCATCAGCTGTACAAACTCCGCAAAAACTGCAGCCAGGTTAACTTACATCAACAACAGGGTGAAAGAAAATGGAGTGTGAATCAAATCCATGGTTGAATTGAAATTGAGATATTGATGCAAGTAATACGTTAGATTCTCTATACAATCATTTCCTATACCCTTTGCTAAATAGGAAAATTATCCTCATTGATTGGACCGATCAAATTTATTGGAATTTGCACAAAACCTCACAAATAGGATTTAGGGATATTGACAAAAAAATAAGGTGCCATGTTTATTGGCTCCTCAAACATAATTAAGAGTTGTATAGAGAGGGGGGGGGATGGTATTCATCAATGCAATTGTATGTATGTCAAGAATTGGACATTTGCGGTAGTATTTTAGATATTCATGAAAACTGACTTCGATTTCTCAGAACATATTTTGTCCCAAATAAGTAACATCAATACTGGTATGACATCCCCTCATTGTTTCACTATTAAGGATATTATTCCAGTGTTTAACATGCATCTAAAACTGCCCTCTTGCACTTGATAGAAGCTATAAAGCAGACACCCTTCTATAACGGACTAGAACTCTCAGTAGATCACAAAATCTATAGAGATTTAAGCTATACCTATACGCGAAGTACATATTCTAATAATACAATATGCAACTTTTTCTATTCATATGCATGGAAACATAAAAATCAGTTGCATTACCAGTATCTGAATCATGAGGTCCGGGGGATGCTTCAGGATGGTACTGGAGAGACATGAGTTTTAGTTTAGGAAAGGCTAGACCAGCACAGGTTCCATCATTAAGATTGACATGAGTCACTTCAACACCCTCAGGCAGAGACGCAGGGTCAACGGCATAGTTGTGATTCTGCCACATGATAAATGTAATATACATTTGGGAGTGCAATATTGAAGAGCATATAAATTACAATAAAACAGGTTAAAGAGATTCAGTTTTCATCTAATTTTAGTTTTGAATTTTGACAAATCCCGAAGAGCCAAAATATTTTATTTAATTTAAATCTTCACGATTCCATTCTGATACAAAGAAGATTTCTAATCAATCTCAAATAGATAATCTAAGTGAAGTAAATCTAAAGCCATAATCCGGGAACGATATACACACAGCGTAGATATATAAACAAGGAGCATGACACGCCATCAATATGAGAGAAAATAGAAAGCTAATGAGTAATGACAAGTACTGTTAGCTAAAAGCACACACCTGGGCACTGATTTCAACACAGCCATTCCGAAGGTTACGAACTGGATGATTTCCTCCATGGTGACCAAACTTCATTTTAAAGGTCTTACCACCCAATGCCTGTCCAAGTAATTGATGGCCCATGCAAATTCCAAAAACAGGAATCTTTCCAATTATTTCCTTGACTGTTTTGACAGCATAAGGAACAGCAGATGGGTCCCCGGGGCCATTGCTGAAAATAACTCCATCTGCTTTCATCTTTAGAGTTTCAGATGCTGGCCACGTTGAAGGGACAACTGTGATATTACAGCCATAGGATGCCAAGCGCCTCAGTATATTATGTTTGATACCAAAATCATATGCAATAACCTTCATTCATACATAAAGACAGAAATGAGTGAATGTCCAAAATTGCAAATAAGTTTCTCATAGTCTGTGGAAAACGCAACATAATGATACTAACATGAAAAGTTTCTCTATCTCTCCCATCGAAGTTAAATTCCCACTCTGAGCCTGTTTTATTGACCCATTTGTAAGGAGCAATGCAGGAGACCCCACTTATCAAATCAACACCTGCAAAGTTAGACCAAGAATTCAAAGGTATATGCTACATGCAATCCCCCGATGTCCTCAAACAAAATTCACAGCTAAAATGAATCCTTACCAACAATGTCCCAGGTACGCGACATTTCCAAAAGTTCCTCGTCTGTTTTGGATTCCTCTGTGCTCAGTACACCTATAAGGCTACCATCTTGTCTTAGTCTCCTGGTAATCGCACGAGTGTCAACGTCGTCTGTCACAGAATGATGCATGAAGAAAAAAGTCAAAAAACATCAGAAGCTCTACAGTGCCTAAAAGCCAATGATGCAAAGCATAACTCACATATTCCCATTATGTTCCTTTCAGCCAAATAATCACCAAGCGTTTTCGTGCATCGCCAATTTGAAGTACTGAAGAATATTCATTTGTGAGGTATGTCGATATATAAGCAGAAGAGAAAATGACAAAAAGTTATTTTTTGTAGCCACATTGATAGAAGACAACATACCTGATACTTAAACTCCTGATTATTAGACCCCCCAGAAAACACTGATTTGATTCTTCATCATCTGACAGGAAAAGCTTTGTGATTCAGATTGCAGATATTCTTCCTATACAAAAATTAATTATGTTAAAAAAAAACTCCACCCACCAAAGTTAACACCAGTGTTGCCAATATGAGGGTTTGTCATCAAGACAAACTGGCCAGCGTAACTAGGATCTGTAAGAATTTCTTGATACCTAAAATACGAAGTCAACAAAGAATCAATTTTTTTTTTTTTGGAGGAACAACAGAATCATATTAAATATGAGACTACGCATAGCATGTCAATTGTCAACCCATTGGCATAACAAGCCTTTCTAGTAGTACCATTACAGACCCTATATTCTAAGGTATCCATGCAAAGCAGCCTAAGGTCCCGAACCATAGCAAATGACGCTGGATTGGACCAAGTGAGGCAAATCGCTCAAGGGACCTCAATTGATTCACAAATTACACAGTGATTTACACTAATGACAGGCCAACACTACAAATCTATGGATAGAAAATCCCTGGAAAATTTGTAAAGAAACCAATATGCAGAAAAGGGCTTAAGCAGTGATTATTAAAACATCATAAGAACGATAATGAGAAAAGCCTATCCCCACTCATTTAATGTGTAATTAGCAGAACATTCCTTTAGGAACTTTTTTTCTTTCTTGTTCAGTTACCATATTGCAAAAAAATTTACAAGAAACTCACCCTGTTAAAGATGTATTGAAAACAACTTCACCAACTTGAGTTCCAGAAGCACCGAATGACTTAGCCCTCCAAATTGAACCATCTTCAAGTGCAAGTCTAGCATCTGCTACCTTCCAAGGTCTTTCTCCTAAACCTAAGGCTCATACAGAAAACTTCCATTAGCCCAAGGTGTGCGCCATAATCCAATTGTTACAGTGACGGGAGAAAATGCCAGAGAAATCAAGAAAAGAATTGGTCTATAAAGTGGATTTTTCAAGCTTTGATTAGTCCTTAAAACCTTAGAAATGGTCTGGAGGTGGCTAACCTGGTCATTTAACAAACGGCTATAGCCCACGATCTAAATATACCACCAGTTGTGTAAGATATTGTGTCACTTCAATGTTGCGTCTAAAAGATATCGCCTCACTTTGATGCACAAAAAAGTATAACAGTTCCTGAATGATGACCAAAATTTTCTTCAACCCTCGGGATGAATTAAACTTTAGCTTTTCCCTTTAATGCAACTATGTCCCTATATCACTATGGCCAATAAAGTAACATTTTATTGATGCTCATTGAACCTAATGCTGATTTGAAATCCCAGAACAGACAAACATCACTCAGTTCCAAATCTAGACTGTCCACCTAGTCGGTACCTGAATTTTAACGTACATACTGTGAATCAAGCTCAACTTTATGATTCCTATAACTCTTCAAATGATATGAATCACTACGATACAATGCTTAGTAAAAACCAAATGTGAACCCTGCATCACTAGCAAAATGCATGATCAAAATAGGCAACTTTATAATATATTAAAACTTGGGGTTTAAACAGCCAAATAAATTAATATTAAAGAAAAAATTAGAAATAAATCCTACTTTTTCCTAAAAAAAACCATTAATCCTATCAAATTCCAATTAGAAAGTCTTTTAAAACTCCAATTAGAAAAAGTGCAATCAAATTCATATTAGAACAAGTCCTATCAAATTCCAATTAGAACAACTGCTATCAAATTCATATGGGAAAAAGTGCTATCAAATTCATATTACAACAATCAAGTCCTACTTTTGATAATTTGTTCCAAAACCATCCTAATTTCATTATATCACTTGGTGCATCAATGTTTTCGATCAATCATGGAAAACGAAGCTATTAAGTCCGTCATTCGAGTAGAACAAGAGAAAAAGAAATAGATAAACCTCAAACAGTGGATCCGATGAGCCTCTTCAATCCAATACTACATTCAACCACACACAGACACACACATACAAATGAAAGCAACCCAAGGTGTGAATTACCGATGGCGACGCCGCCGTCGGAGGAGACAGAAATAGAGGCGGAGCATCTGACGGTGCAAACCCTAGCGGTTTTAGACGACTTCTGCGAAACGGCAATGCTTGATAAGTGGTGCGTCGTTATTGGGCAATCCAGTGCTACGGTCGCCATGTTCTCTCCCCCCCCCCCTCTCTCTCTCTCTCTCTCTCTCTCTCCCCCTCCTTTTGGCGGTGAGTGCGTCTGAGTTGCAGAGTATAAAAGTGTAGGTAGACACGAAGTTCAGACTTCAGACGGAGGTAGTGAAGTAGGTTTTTTTTTTTTTTTTGTGGACAACTCCAAGATATGATCGAGTGTGTGCAGCTCGATGTGATTTTGGCAGTACCTGAAATATGATTTAGACTAGTAATACCCTGTAGGGCCCGTACTTAGAATCACTTTACAATTTTAAAAAAAAAAAATTGAAACAATTTTTTTTCATTTATTTTAATTAAAAATTTAAAATTAATTTAAACCCTGTTATTTTTTCAAAAAAAAATAGCAAAATTTCCTCTAAATATAAGAAAACAGAAAAATTTCAATCTGTCTATATTGCTTATATATCTCATTATATCACTGTCCAACACAAACTATTACACAACCAATCTCAAAAATAAATTACTAAATCTAAATCATATTTTAGTCATTATCGAATCCAAACCAAAATAATATTTATATCTTAATAATAAATGTCACAATTACATGTTACGCACGTAAGTCCAACCAAAGATGGACTGTGTAATGCAAAAAATATTCTATTTTGAAATATAATTGAAGAAACTTTAATTTAGGCTTATAAAGTTATAAAAAATAATGCATATCAAATAGAAAAAAACTTTAAGTAGTTTCTTTCAATGTTATAGCAATCATATGAATTAAAAGGAAGCTTACTTCCCCATGTAAGTAAGCTTAAGTCCCTTACATTTTGCATAAAAGATTAATAGAAGGAAAAAAAAAAGATTTTTATGACGGTTTAAGTTTCGGTCTCACTACATTTTATGCCCTAATAACACTTGCACAACCAAATTCATAATTAATTAAATGATTTCAGCCAAAAATAAGACCCACCTAAATATCAATTTCAGTATTAAGTTACTTTAAGTACCGAAATTGTGCAACAAATATTAAGTTCCTTGAACTAAAACCAAACGTAAAGGTTGTAGCAACAAAATCAACAAATTCAATACTCTCGCATGTCAATGCAAGTTTTTCACAGTGTGATTCAATGTTTAATGCGATCAATAACAGTGTATTTGAAATTCAAGAAGTTCAATTAAGGCTAGAAAATAATATTGGATCTAAGGGTAATGAATGTGAGATTTCAAAGGAGGAGTTAGGCAAGAACCCTCTGACCCAACCCTATACACAGTTAGGCAACACCACATATGCTATTGGGAGTCACAAGTACATAGTTCTATGAAAGTAGTCTCATCAACAACAGATAAAAGAGACTTGCAAACCATAGCTTTAAAAGAGACTCACTTCTTATTAAAAAAAGACCTCTCAAGTAACCACACCAATCAATTCAAAAAGAAAAAAAAATGGTGCTTAATCACTAATTAAACAACATACTTTGATCCATTACATTCAAAGCTTAGGTAATTTAGAATGCAATCAATATAAAACTATAAATATCTGTTACAAATCTTATTTCATAAATATAACACACAATATTCAATCAGAAACACTAAAAACTAAATTGCAACACAATGTAATGAAAAAACCAAATTAGCATCCAAATTAAACACAAAAAACTACCACAATTTCATTTGTAGTCCTAGACTACTCCTGTGGCCTCAAATTGAGCATAATACTAACTAAATTGAAAATCTCAAGCTATTGAAGCCTAAGCCTTGCATTTACAATATTTCATCTATGCCGCCACCACAATCACTACTGCCCATTCACTATACAATGTCACCCTACAAAATAGTTGTTAAAAAAAAGATTCAATAATGAGTAATTATGGCAAGGATTCAATAATTTAAAAAAAGACATTTCGAATTTCAAGAAACAAATCAAACTTCGAATATAAAAGCGATCTTATAAATCTTTCATTACTTCAAATAACTAACTCAAAACACAATTCAAAAGTATCAAATTAAAAACCTACATACATACATAAGCTCAAATCTCCAAATGTTCTTTGCTTTAAATATTCACCAAGTTACACAACATTTATTAATTCAATTATGAAATCATCAAACTATTGAACTTTGCGAAACTATCCAAATGCCAACACACCCATAAACCAATCAAATTGATCAACAATCAAAAGGTGTACATAGATTATAGATTTAAGAAGCATTAAACCTTAAATATTTATTCTTGGCAGCACATCGACAAAGCATAGAACCTTAGCTACCTAGTACTCATAACAACATTATTCATTTTTTATACTCAATCAACTGCAAAACCAATGTGTTAAATCAGAAAAGTCAAGGCCATTAAAATTTAGCTTAAAAGGAACTACTCGATTTTTGAACACACTTCAACAATTCATATAAAAGAAAAATTAATTCCCAAGTTCAAACATGCACTATAATAATCAAAACTCAAATGAATAAATACAACATGGAATATCTGTTGGAAATACTCTAACAATATCAAGAAGAGTACCCCAAAATGCAAATGTTTGCTTTCAGTCAATGTCGTCGACCAATGATCTGATCACTTGCACAAATTAACATTTCTCATTTATAACCTCAATTAAGAAAAGCAGAACAAAAACATCAACTTCTAACTCATAATGTTCTTGGGACCTTAATATTAAAACCTCTATAATCATTAGTTTCAACAATTCAATTCAATTCAAATCAAGCAATATAATCATTAGTTCCCCAATTTGAGATTCCAATAAAGTAATCAAATATAAAATTCAAATCAAAACCATACAAACCTCTTTGATAAAAAACCCAATATGAAATTTCACAAAACCATAATAACAAAAAAAAATCAAGCAATTAACACAAAATTTAAATTAATAACCCTAAAATACATTCAATCAAAACCTTACAAACATCTTTCATAAAAACTCCAATATGAAATTTCACAAACCCTAACATCTAATCTCTTACTAAATTATCATCAACTCCACAACATTAACATAAATTAAATAAAAATCATACAAAAGTCTTTCATAAAAACCTTTACATATATTCAATCAAACCCCTAATAACAATATAACACAATCTCAAACAATTAACACAAAGTCTCAATCATAATAACCCTAAAATACATTCAATAAAAACCCTACAAACATCTATTTCATGAAAAATCTCAATTTGAAACCCTAAGATTCAATTTTTTTACTAAATAATAATCAATTCAACAAAAACACCAAAAAACCAAATTTGACTATGTGACTGTGTGTGTGCTTGTGTGTGTTTGTGTGTGTGCGCGCGTGCAATGGGTGTGAGTGTGCATGTGCAATGTGTGTGTGTGTGTGTGTTATACTGTCTCTTAGTGTGTGTTAGACTAGAAAGAGAGAGGGGTACCTAGGCTTCGTTGGTTATAGGTTGATCGACGGTGGGTTGAGCCATGGCACAAAGAGCAAGAGGTGAGTTGTGAGAGGTAGAAAAGAGGTCTAGAAAGAGGGGGCGCCTGAGTTGGGTTTTCTGGTAGAGAAAGAGAGAGAATGAGGGATGAGTTGGATCTTCTAGGAAAGAAAAAAAGTAAGTGAGAGACAAAAGAGGGTGTCCTAAAAGAGATAGTCTAACGGGTTTGGGTTGGGTAGCATCTAGAATACAAGAGGTTTAGGTAGGATTTGGCTTTTAGGTGGGATGGATTGTGAGCTATTGGATTTAATTAGATGGGTTTAAATGAAATTTGAACTGTATACTTAAACTTTAATCAAATCCTAGTCGTCCTTCTCCTTTTTTAAATTTGGAGAGCTGATTTCAATTTAGGAAGTTTGAAAAGTACTTTATCTTATTATTATTATTATTATAGATGTTCACTTTGTTTTGTTTAAGTCGACCATCATATTTAATTTGATTTATGTTATTGAGCAATGTGATAATGTTTATTATACATGTATTTACATGAGTAAGTAAATTGAATTGAATTGTTATGTACAGTGAAGATTCCATGTAGTTATTTACAATATGGTGCACATGGATAATCGAATTACACCGATTTCAGAGAGCCTTGATGGGTGATAACTATTTTGTATTGGATTATTTTATTTTTGATGAATTAGGTCAACATAGATAGTCCTAGTGATGAAATATGTATTTTACTTTCCATTTTAAATAGGAATATTCAAGAAATGGTAATTGTGTTTAATCTTATGGTGTCCATAATGGTGATGATATGGGAAATAGAAAACAATTGTACAATAGCTAAGGTCTCACAACCTTTCCATAAGAGTCGGTTACAGATGGAACACTTACACTGCTCATCAGCGAGAGTGATAGACTCACATTTATTGTGTTATGTAATATGGTTTGTGATGTGGGAGGACTAAATCCAACTAGAAAGGTCACTGTTGAGGAGATGGTAGCGATGTTCTTAAGTATTTTAGTGCACGATAACAAAAAAATGTGTCAGTTAAGCTCAATTTCCTTCGATCGGGTGAAACCGTTAGTCGACATTTCAACAAGGTGCTAACTGCGGTATTGAGCTGTGTAGGTTATTGCTAAAGTCACCAGAACCAATTCTTGAGAACAATACCGATTGTTAGTGGAAGTGGTTTAAGGTAAGCCTAGTGTGATGTAATACTCAATATTGTATATTTTCTTTTTTTCCATTTCGTTGATCAAGTTATATTACCCCTATTGATGGGATAATCATTTTTTTTTCGTGGTAGAATTGTGTATTAGATGGGACTTATGTTCCTACCCGAGCACTTCTTGTCCATCAAGCTAGATATAGAACACGTAGAGGTGGAATAACAACAAATGTGTTAGGTGTTTGTTCTCTGAACATTTAATTCATTAACGTGATTCCTAGTTAGGAAGGGTCAATTGTCAATTCTAGGATATTGCAAGATGTTGTTACTAGGCATAATGGGTTGAAGATAGCATGTGGCAAGTGACATATTATGCTTGTTGGAAGAATAAATGTAATGTTTTGTATAAGGTTTCAGGTCGTTGGTGAGTACTTGTAATAAAAACCTTCTTATACAACACAGA